GAACTACTGATCTTTCTGATCAACAAGCTCAGCGTCTTAGCCACTGAGCCACAGTGTCCCATCAGGCAAGACCTACTGAATTCTTTATCAGTGTAAAAGGTACACCCTTAGCACTACAACGTATTATAATCCAGCAATGTATTGTAATATCCTTAGAAATAATACTATTTTAATAAGAAAAAATCAGAAAACAAATCCAGTCTTTTGGCCATGTATACTACTACCCTTATAATACAATACATTCTGTTTCTCGGTAATTGCCTTTTCTTTACTCTGTCATAGAATTCATTTCTTTTTCTGTGTTAAAAGAAAATAGTTTGAAAAGGGAAGAAGGAGAGCAAAGGTACACAATTGTGTTTTTTCCCCTTCATTCTATTACCTACAATTGCTTCCGGCATATGACATTTTGTTAATGAAAAAGTCAACTGTAAGAGCAATTTGGATTATCCAATAGCTAGGTTCAGATTTTCTTGCACTTCAAGGAACACAAAAACCCGCAGAATCCTGACTTCTTTCAGAATTGAGATGGCTCCAAAACTCCATCACTACTTAAATCCTTAATCTTCTCATCTAAGTTTCTAGAGGTGCTGTAGAAACAAAAGCAGTTGACAATGTTGAAGATGAATGTTATTGTCTTGCCTGTCACCAAGGAAAGAGGACACTCCTATATCCCAGCAAGAGCCTCTCCAGAAATCATGGGAGAAACTAGCATTCCTTCCAACATCTTACAGGCTATGGGTTGTCCTTTAAAAGAAGAGGTGGAAATATATCCTCCTCACATTGGTCAAAGTGGATAATTGGAGTTCTGCTGTGTTTATGGGTTTCCTGGAAGCAACTAGTTGCTCAAACTTAGTTATGTATCTAGTGACCTATTTCCTAATCCCTTTAAGATCTATGTAATTAAAAGTTTCAGGTGTGTGTATGGGGGAGATCTGTACTCTCAGATGACTGTCAAGAAGTGTGTAAACTAATTGGCTATTTGACCTGCTCATCTTCTCCTCTGGGTGAACAGGTCCCAGAAATAGCTCCATTGGGCAGGGCAAGAGCACCTTGTTCTATTTGTCCTTTGTTGTTCATCAGCACTGGTTGACAAAATGGGCCAGGGCCAGGGCCATAGAAGAGTGATGAGAACATAGCTGGAGGAACACCAATCCCTTTTCAACCCTCACCACAGCTCTGGTGGCACTGTTAGCATCTGCCTTGGGAAGCCAACCAACACACCACTCTGGTCTCCACTGAGGTTGAGATGACATGGACCTCTGCCTACTACAAGGTTTGGTAGTGAAGCCTAGCTAAAAGCCTCGCTCATTTCAGAGATTGGCAAAACTCTGCTTGCAGACTTTAAGCGATCGCTTCTACCAACTTGAGAACAGGAGAAGTCAAGGTTTATTAGTCAGAAGATTAATCTACCAGACAACTTTCGCCTGCTCTCGGCTTCCCCGTCTTTTCCCTCTCTCGCTTGCCACCCCTTCTCTTCCTCAAGAAGGGCAGGGCTCTTTCGCCGGTCTCCGTGGGAACGAACGGCTCTCCCCCCCCGCCCCGTCGCATTATAGACTGGCTTTTTTCTGCTAGCCAACGCCTGTCTTGCCCCACCTCCCTGCCCTCCTTCCTCCCCATTCTCGCCCCGTCTGGCGGCGTCGAGCATCTCCTCCTCTTCTTTCCCCCTCCGTTTCTTTTCCTTCCCTTCATAAGTGGGGCTCTATCCGTGGTCCACATTCCCACCCACCCCGCCTACGCGCACCGTCGCCCCTTGCGCGCCCAGTCCAGGCCGGATATTCTCCATGGCCGCAGGCAACTACCGGTGCAACTGGACCCTGAGGCTCGAACCAGGTCAGTCGGTGCTTCCCGGGTCGCTACTCTTCGCGGCGGGGCTGCTGGGCAACGTGTTGGCGCTGTGGCTGCTGTGGCAGCACCACCTGAAAGCGAAGCTGCAGCGCGGCCAGGGGCGCCCGAGGGCGTCCGCCTTCTACCTGCTGGTGAGCACCCTGGCCGCCACCGACCTGCTGGGCAAGTGTTCGCTCAGCCCGATCGTGCTGGCCGCCTATGCGCACAACCGCAGCCTCGTCGACCTGTGGCCGCCCTCCGCAGCCAGCGAAGCCAGCCCGAGCCAGCCCGAGGAGGAAGAGATCCGCTCCCCCGGCAGTCTGTGCCAACTCTTCGCTTTCCTCATGGCTTTCTTCGGCTTGGCGTCCACCGTCCTGCTGCTGGCCATGGCCCTGGAGTGCTGGCTCTCGCTCGGCCAGCCTTACTTCTACGAACACCACACCAGCCGGCGTTGGGGCGGGCTGCTCACCGGCGCGGCGGCCGTTCTCTGCGCTCTCTTCTGCGCCCTGCCGCTCCTGGGCTTCGGCAGCAACGTCCAATACTGTCCGGGCACGTGGTGCTTCATTCGCATGGCCGGCGTTGGACGGCTCTATTCCGTGCTCTACGCTACCCTGCTGGGCTTGCTGGTGCTGGCCGTCGGCCTGTGCAATCTGGGCAGCATGAGGAGCCTCTACGGGATGGCGCGCCGCCAGCCCCCGCGCAGGACCCACCCGGTCGACCTGCAGGACGCAGCCGCGCCTTCCAGGCTCCCTTCCTCCGGGCGCACCGAGGAGCTAGGCCAGTTGGTCCTGCTGGCGCTCATGACCGCCCTTTTCACCATCTGCTCCCTGCCGCTGATCGTAAGTAGCTCTTTGGAGGACGAGGAGGAGGGGGAGAACTAATGGGAGAGGGCGGACGAGAAGAACTGTTCCCGGTTCGGCTTCGGCGCCCGTTGTGCGCGGCGTAATGCGCCCACCGAACGCCTGATGGGTGCCGCCGATGCCCCCCCCCGGGGTGGGGTGATACGAGGGAAGAGGAAAGGGCTCAGAGAGAGAAAAAGGAAGCGCCCACTTTGCTTTCGGACTTTCTTGTTGGATCTCGCCCTTTCCACGCGGGGCTGGGAAAGTTTGCCTGAAACCTTGGGAGATCTGTTTGCGGTCTGTGCCAAAAGTGCAGTATGATGAACCTGAATCTGCAGGGGAAGGGAGGGGGGCAGTGAAGTCCCTTACCGTTTTGTGGAGATGGGGTGGTGGTGGTTGGGCTGCTTCTGGACATCTGGCTGGGTTGCGGCGCCAGGTTTTGTTTCCCTACCACGACGGACAAGATCTGCTTTCCAGTCGGGATGTATTATCCGCGAAGTTTGACCACTGGAGGCAGAGTATCCCGCACNTCTTGTAAGAGAGACCAATGGGCAGCCAGTGCAGCTCGTGGAGGATAGGTGTGATATGGGTGTACCTTGGCACACCCAGAATCGCTCGCGTGGCTGCATTCTGGACTAATTGCAGTCTCCGAACACTTTTCAGGGGCAGCCCCAAGTAGAGTGCAAGCCCTCAAACTTGTTTCAGTCATCAGAACTGGAACAGAATTGTGGGAAATAGCCAAATGGTTTCTCTTACAAGAAGCACATAGACAGCAATAGTCAACAGTTGCTTAGATTTGCAATCATCATAGTTTCCTTTGCTTGTAATAATGGATTGGGGGAGGGTGTCCTTTACTTATCTTCCTAGCTTGGCAAACTTCTTTGCAAGTAGCTCAGCTCCTCCTAATAGGAAGTTCTATAAACCTGTCACTTAGGTTTTTGCAACCCAAAGATTAGAGTCTGGAAATGAATGCTGGTGTTGTATGTGTCTGTGTATATTTGCTGGTATAAATTATTAAACAAATTCTTTGCAAAGACAGTTCCCACCTAACCTACTTTGCGTCTCGCAGGCTCATATGTCATTTTGCGAGAGTGTGAATAGCATGAGCTTTCAGCCTTCACCACTCTTCCAAGCAAATTGAAGTGCTTTAGCACATCTTCCTCTGTGCATTCTCTTTGTGTTTAGCATCGTGGTTCCTCTTTGTTCCAAACTAGAGTGTTGTAAGAGTCAAGAGCTCATCTGTCATGTACTATAGATAATCTAAAAAACACCTTAGCAAACAAGGTTTGAACCTCCAGGCAGTTTATATTCATGAAAACCTCTTCCATATAGAGGTCACGGAGGAGTAAGAGGAACTCATATAGCCAAATATTCCATGTACATTACAACAAGGGCCTGGTGTCATAGTTTTTAACACCTAGGCTATATAGCCTGGTAAGTGTTTCTTTTGTCTTTTGCTTTATTGTGTATTGCCAGGAAGGACCTGAAGAAAAGGCGATGGGAAAAGATTGCAATTTTTTTTTTGTAGACTTCAAGTGTAAATACAAATATGAGATTAGAGCCATCATCATTCCTTTTTTTACTGAAGTGGCACAACTTAATTAGGCACTAGAGATATATACCTGTGTGCTAAAGAGACATAAATGCTTCAGTAATAAAACATCGGCCTTGTTAAATAAAGATGCTCCACCCCCATAAGAAATGTTTTGCAACCTGCTTATCCCCAAAAGGTAACAATGGAAATACCAGCTCAAGTCACATGGTAGCCATGAGTGATTTGATTCAGTAACAGATGCACAACACAGAACTGGAGAAGGCTTATTTTTAAGGAAGTCATTTCTCTCTTGATCACATTGTCTTCTTTTAGCTCATAAAGAATGCTTTCTCAATTCAACCCGCCAGAGGTGGGAT